TTTGGGTGCGGCAGACAGCAGTGACTTGGGGGCCTTGGGACAGGACGTCTGTGAAGAAAGCCTCGCACCTCTCATACCTCTTCTATGCCTGAGCTGAAGAAGTGGGCATTGCTCTATGCAGAGCCCTGGGAGGGGGTAAGGTGGGATGGCTGAGACCTCTAGGGAGCCCTCTAATTTAAGAGTCCTTTCTGATTTTATTACCCGGAGGAAATATTGGGAGCTAAATCAGAGGAGATAGCTGGCAAGTACATTAAGGACATTAAACAACAGCTGATCAGCATCAGACACAAATAAATGGCTCCTAATCCAGTACCGAGAACATGGATGGTTCCCAAGCGGTGGCCTGGATGGCTTCCATGGGGGGGTGGGGGGCTGGACATCAGGCCACGTAGATCCCAAAACGGCGGATCTGGTCACCTTCCACCAGCACCAGAAGATCACAGCATCCAGGCAGAAATCACAACCTTCCACCTCCTGCAGGGCTGAGTTTGGGTCTCCTCACCACTGGCCTCTGAGACCTGGACCCCAACATCACCTGGAGAACTCCTACCTGCCTGGGAAATACTGTATTGGAAGAGGGAAGTCACATATTCCGTGTGGACGCAGGGTAGGCTGGCTCACAATGCCTGAATAGGTCTGTGAAGCAGGATTACCCTGGATCAGCAGCACACTCCCAAAATACTCTAGCGCACGGAACAGTTTAAACTCACCTCGCGAGGGCATGCTTTAGCTTCTTTTAGCTTGTATCTTTAGTCACCACTAACATGCACGTATCATCAAAGGGAAGACAAATACCTTGATAAGTCACGTGCACTCACTATAAAGCAAAGCTTAATTTTCTGTGAGAGCTTTGGACATTGCTATCCTGAGAAGTTTCCAGCAGATCTGAAAGTGTGCTGCCGGATGTTAGCACTCAGCAGCACCCTCAGCAGAGTTGGCCTGTAGGGGGCAGGATTCCAGTGGATTCCACAGCGCTCTCCCAAATCAGGTGGGACCTGGGCAAGTCACTTAACCTCTGACCTGCTTCCTCATCTGAAAGTGACAGTGACGCCACACCCATCCCACAGATGCTGGGACAGTGGCATACCTTGAACTGTGTAGAAGATCCGCCCCTCCTTAACTGTTCTTATCCTTGGGCCTGCGGCTCCACACTCTGGAAGCTGAAATTGCTGCGTTCCCTCTGCGAATGCCTGTTGTGCGGAGGCCGTCCGCAGACCCACAAATGAGCCCCGCCAGGGCCACGCAAAGCCAGGCTCATCTGTGACCTTTAGCTGACCCATAGGCATGAACTTCGATAATAAATAATCATCGCTTAAGCCATCGGGTGTTAGGTAGCTTATTACCAGGTAAATGATTCAAACCATAAACCAAATTTAGAACTCCTGCTATTTTTAATAGCTGCCTTGTACATTAGAAATAATCCTAAGATTTAAAAAGCATACTTATATTATACTTATATTTTAAGCAAAATAAATACCAGCATTCACTGGACCAGTCACCGTCCGCATAACAAAAGTTACTTCATGTGCTGTAAGACGGTGCGGACTTCAATGGCCACATACATAGTTCCTATTTATTTTTCTTTATGAAATCTCAGAATCTGCCCTCAGGTTTACAGTCACTTTGCTCACACTCAGTCTTATCAGCTGCCTTTTGTTAGCGCCATCAGAGAGCTCAGCCCCATCTTCCCCCTTCCCAACCTATTGTGTGATACCCTCCGTATTTCCAAAAACCTGCTCTTGAAGCCTGTTAGGCTGGGATTCAAAGTACGAGTTCACAGGCTTAGAGGGAGAGTCTGGGATGTTTTCTGAATGTCCAGCGCATGCGCCTCAGGGCTGGGATTCCTTCCTGTCATCGATTCTGGCCTCTGTAATGCTTTCTGCTCCCTTCCAGGTTCTCCTCTGGGGCCCGGCAGTGGAAGTTGCCAGGTAACGCACATTGATTCAGAGAAGGGGTGTTGTGTCCTCCGGCGGGGCTGGAATATAATCTTACCTGAAGAGGAGGAAGGGGAGGCTCACCTTGAAGGGGGTGATAACCTACAGGCCTGCGAGAGCTCGGCCTCGCTCGCAGCCACTCCCTGGGACGTGCAGCGTGTGCCCCTACAGACCAAGCGTTCCTCCAGGACAGAGGCCAAACCCTCCCGCGCCGTGTCCCCTGAAGCTCTCCGCCCAGTGCCAGGCACCCGGCGGTGCTGTCTGAGGTGCAGTGGGTAGATGAAAAGCTTTCCTCGTGACTCTACCTCAGCGTCTGCATAATTTGTCTTCTTCAGAGTAAGAATCTGGAAGTTTCTGAATACAGACTATTTCAAACTGAACTGCTAGAAAATATTTTAAAGGGATTAAATTCACCCTGGATGAAGGGACAGCTCCGGCTCAGGGCCTCACTTTATTTCTGAACTGCGCGCTAGTGAAGCCATGGTGGTGAGGAAAAGGGACAAGGCCAAGACACTACAGGAGAAAATAGATATTTTTGCTAAACAGAGCATTAACTTAGTGGGTCCTCCTCGGCCTCCCACACTGTTTGGCCAGATGTCTGAGGATCCCAACCAGGAGATGGAGACTTAGCAACTCATCAGAAAGTATTTGTGGATGTATGGATACGGAGATTGGTCACAGTACGCCCCCACTTTCCCTGTGCCCTTGACCCTGTGCCCTGCAGGCTGTCTCTTCATGGTCCCCAACAAGGCACCCAGGAGGCACCGTCAATGGATGGATGGGCTGGGAGGAGTGGAGGTCAGGGTGTTCGCCTCCCCTTCCTCCAGCCTTGGGTCCCCCCACAACCCAGCCTCCTGCCTGCTGGCTCCTCCTCTAAGCCTCCCTGGCTCCCAGGGCTCCACCTCCCTTCTTCTTTCTGCCTTTTCAAGCCGAGGATGCTAATGGCTTCCTGAGCTGCTAATCTTGAGGTGCCTCATTTAGCTTGCTGGTTCCCTTAGCCCCACCCACGCCCCAGCCGATGCTGTCTGCGTTCAAGTCTCTTCAGCTGAACCTTCAGAGTGGCAACTGTGCACTCGGCATCCCGAAGAGCACAAGCTGCAAACCGCTTGCCTAAGGCATGTCCACTCTGAGCCGAGGCCCTCCCCAGGGCAAATTCAAAGAAGACCAGAGATTCTTTCCTCTCCAGCTCTTGAACTCCTCAGGCACTTTGTTTGGCTCTATCTAGATCAAATAATGCAACATATCGGGTGAACTCCAATCTATAAACAAGAAAAAAATACTTTTGCATTGGGGATTGAACCCAAGGTTGCTGCACCTCTGAGGTACTTCTCTAGCTGTTTTCTGGGTAAAAACGTTGAATTTCGAGACAGGGTCTCACTCAGTTACCTGAGCTCCCTGCAAATTCAAGACTGCCCTGTGCCAGCTACCTGAGTAGTTGCGATTACAGGCATGTGCCACTGTCCTTAGCTGGGACAAGCTTTCTCCTTTTCATTCACCAGATACTTAATGAGCACCTGTGATGTGTCGGGCACTATTCTGACCTGGGAATCAGAGAAGATGTACAAGATAGACCCAGTCCCTGCCCACAGGGTGCTTAGAGGACATCATCTCTGTCTCCTGGGAGTCAGAGAGCCCATCAGAGGCATGGTGGAACCAGAAGACCCATCTCCTTAGGTCCCAAACCTGAAATCCACAAAGGACTCTATGACCCAAACAAGAAGAAGCACCATTAAGTCAGATCAAATGAACTCTCCATCTCCCCTTTTGAATAAAAAGCCCACCCAGTCCCAAGAGCAGCTTAGCGCCCTCAGCTTGAATCCGTGAGGGGTGTGTCAACACTCACTTGGGTGACACCTCCTTTTCTGTCAACCCCACGCCCACCATTGCCCACAGAGCCTCCCTCCTTTCCTCACACTTTTATAATTAGCCTCACACTGGTCTCTCAGTTACTCCCTCGGGGCTCAGGGCCATTGGCAGCATCTCTTGCCAATGAGCTGTTTTTATGAATGGACAGTGGCAGGGGCTGCGTTCTGAGACACAACCTTTCGGCTGGCGTTTCTGGTTTCCTTGTGTCTCACAGGCTGTGACAGTGACACTTCTGGCTTGTCTGAGGTACTTATGAGATCCACGCTGGGGGGCACAATGGAGAAGGAGATCCAGGGCAGCTGAGGTGAGCTGGGAGAGAGGCAGCAAGGGATGGGCAGCAAGGCCGGGGGGCTGCCGGACTGCCTCCCCACCCTCTGAAGACAGTTTCCTCAGAAAGGTTTAAGGAAGCCGTAACAGTAACTCAATACTTCCCCTGCTCCAGGTCGGGCAGGACAAGGATAGCAGTCTGATGCCCTCAGAGGAGGTTGTCCGGCGGGCACCCTGGGCACCTTCTCCAGTCTCCCAGCTCCACACTCACAGACACAGCCAGCTCTGGCCCCACTGTCCCTGTGCAACCCCTCCGCTTCTCCCCAAAAGACCCCATCCTCCCAGGACCTCCAGATGCCTTGTCTGTGGCTGAAGGGACACCTCCTTCAGGAGGGAAACGCAACAGGAAAGTAAATAGGGCTGGGGAACCAGCAAGCCCAGCCCCGAGGCCACAGAGCGGCCCTGGCCTGCACCACAGCCAGCCGGATCCCGTCTCCCTCTGTGAGATCGTCCTGGCCGGAGCTGGGGTGGCCGTGTGTTTACTTGGCAACGTCACCTTGGGTCAAGCCCGCTTCAGGGAGGTCAGAGATCTATTTATAGAAACATCTGGGCTCACTTCTCTTTCACTTGAAATTTCCAATCTCGTTTAAGTTCCTTCCAAATGTCTGACCAAAATGAAATCATGCAGCAAATGGGGAGATGAGACAGGGAAGGCAGAAACAATATTTTAGAGGGCGAACCATTCGAACAAGGACAAAGGGGGCTTCTGAGAGGAGTCCGGGTGACAGGAAGTGGTTGGGGTGGCCTCTCTCTCCCAGTTCCCCTCCACCAAGAACAGAACAGTGAAAATATCATGACATGTTGTAAAACGATTTCTTTCCTACCCCTGTCCCCTGACAGATGGCAGCGAGGAAGGCTGCGACCATCACTTACCTGCTGAGATTGGGAGGACGCTGTTGATAAAAGTCGGCTGAGACAAGACAGAGCAGAAGAAGAGCTGCAGATAAATTCCCAGAGTCATCGGATTCAGGACGACCATGCTGGCCAGATCTGGCAAGTGTCAAGGGAGGGAGGCGAGGCTGCTGCAGAGCGTGGCCACCTCGGCTCTGTCTCTGCCGCTGTTTGTGTTCTCTCCCGCCCTCCCCGGTGCTCCCCTCCCTCCCTCATGCCTTTGCCCAGAAAGAATGCCAACCATTTCCCATTAAACCGGCCTCGTACTACACAGGGTTATATTTATCTGAAGCACTGGATCCAGTGCCCCCATTAAAAAGGAAGATGCCAGAACTTTCTTTTTTGGATCCTGAGGTAAGTGGCTGTTGAAGTGGTGATGGACAAGTAGCCCAGTCTCAACTGTTCACTAGAAACTGTCCTCAAAAGCAGCACGTGGGACTGCTGCCAATGCCTGCCATCACCTACCTGCCTGGGTAGGAGTGTCCCGCTGCAGTGTAGAGCCAACTCACCCGAATCAAAGGGGATTCTGTGAGCAGAGCCCCTCTGCCTGTGGCACTTTTACCCACTGGGTGACATATGCAAAGTTGACCTTGGGCTTTTTTCTTTCATCATCCAATAAAAGAAGGGAAGTTTATATTTCCAAACAACTTTCTTGCTTTTTTTAGACAAGGTCTGGCTATGCAGTTCAGGCTGCCTTGAGCTGACTTTGTAGCCCAGGCTGGTCTCAAACTCACAACAATCCTCCTGCCTCAGCCTCCCAAGTGCTGGAACTACAGACTCAAACAACTTTCTTTATGAAAAAAAATGTACTCTCCCTAGAATCTGTGTGTGTGTGTGTGTGTGTGTGTGTGTGTGCCTGTGTGCGTGTTTCACTGGGGAATTGAACCAAGGGACACCCTACTAGGGAGCTACACCCCTAGCCCTTTTTCAGTTTTTAGTTCGAGAGAAGGTCTTGCTAAATTGCCCAGACCAGCCTCAAACTTATGATCCTCCTGCCCCAACACCTGAGTAGCTGAGATTACATCTGGCCAGAGGCTGCAAACTTTAATCCTAGGCAAAGCAAGTGTAAATGAAAACAGTAATGAATAGAAAAGTGACTAATTATTACATAATAGCATCATTAACCTGACTTTGGACTTGACAAAATTCTTCAAATAAAAATTATGATATCCTTAAATGAATATCCTTTACAAGTTTATAAAGCTGAGACTAGAGATACATCACTAAAATAATTAAAATAACACAAATCGTAGAGTTGTTCAGGCTGCTTTCCCTTGTATAATATATTCCCACTGCATCGTAAGAGTTAATTCAGAGACGGTTTGGTAGCTGTTAGGCCCTGAAGTGGGCGAACTTGAGACAAGGACACTGATATTCATACTGAAGAGGCTGGAGCTGGCTTAGCACAGGGTGTGCAGTCGCATTCTTACGCCGTGGCACCAGAGGTGGGCTTAACTCAGCTCTGAGTGGCAGTGGACAAACTCCTTAACCCCTCAAAGCCTCAATTTTCTTTTTTAAAAAAAACAGAGACCATGTTTGTGTCACAGGTTTACTAGAAAAGTTCAATGGAGAAATGTGGGATGCATTATACATAAATTAGAACTTGGAACTAGAGACAGCATAAAAGGGACTACGGTAGATGAGGTCCAAAGATGGCCTCAATCCACCCCCTCCCCCCATATCCACTCTTCCCATCAAAAAGTGGAAGCTATCCCCCTTCCTCAAATCTGGGCAGGCCTGTGATTGCTTTCACCAGTACTAGATGGCTAAAGGGATGGTATCTCATTTCTAGCTGTAGATCTTAAAAGGCCTGGCATCTTCAGCTCTTGCCTCTTCTCAGAAACCAGCTGCCATATAAAACAAAATTCAGACTATGAAGAGGCCACACGAAGAGGGAAGCCGCTAGCCCCTCGCCGTTCGGACCTTCCCTGCTGAGGCACTGTCATGCTGAGGGAGGCTGTTTGGGGTCCCTTAATCTTTTCATCTCTCCAGATGGTGGCAGCCACAGACATGACCCCTGAATCCAGATGAAGAACTTCGCAGTAATTATAAGGAAATAAAATGCCTACTGTTCAAAGTCATTAAGTATTAGGGTGATTTGTTATGCAGCAGTAGCTAACTAAGACAGAATTGATAAAAAAAGCTTGAAGAATACTTGGACTACTTTCAAGATATACAAGCCTGCTTAAAGGCAGGTGCCCTATTTAGCTGCTCCCAAAGCAATTAGCAGAAGAACCTGTGATTAGTGGCCAAACCCAGCCAGAGCAGTCTCGGGTTCTTAGTGCCAATATCCTCACCTGTGTTTAATAGCTACAACAATTAAATTTCTACATGAAATCAGGATAATAAACAACCCTCCTCCTACCCTGCTCCTAGCTGACTTAGATACAGTCTACCCAGGAGAAAATTCTTGAGTAATTTGCTATCTGAACCCAAATTTCCAGCATTTCGCCCTCCGCAAATCCTGCATGATTTTTTTCCTTTTCTCAGCTAAGTTTACCACTGCTTGTGCATGTGACACAAATCAGTCAATGTGTCTCACCTGTGACATCTTCCAGACTCGCTTCTGACCTTTTAAAACTCCTTGAGCCAGGCATGGTGGCACACACTGTAATCCCAGCATTTGGGAGGCTGAGGCAGGAAGATGGCCATGAGTTTGAGGCCACCGTAGGGTACACAGTGAATTCAAGGCCAGTCTAGATTATATGAAAAGACTGTGTCTCAAAAACAGCAACATGACAACCCTCCTCGTGTTGCTATTTAGCCCGCACTCATATCACTGAAGATGAGGGGTGTCCACAGCCCTGTGTGTTCTCAGGGTCCCCAGAACAGTCTTCTACCAGGTCCTCAACAATGGCAGTTGATGCAATTGATTCACATCGTGGATAGGATGAAAAAAAGGGACAGTTGGAGAAGTGTGTAACCTTAATGTGGCTCCAGCCACTTTGTATGATTTGCATTTTCCTGGCCCCCTCCTGTGTCTTTGCACACACACCACACACACTTCCACCCTGAGCTATGGCCAGGCGTGAAGACAGGCCTGTTCCTGCCAACTCTTGGCACCAACAGCCCCAGCAGCGTGCCCATACTGGAGGGAGGGAGTTAGGACGCACACACAGGTGAAATTTACACACTCAGAAGACCCAAGAGCAAATCACTGCTGACCTGAAGTTGCTACAGGAACCTTTGGAGAAGCCCCACAGTTGAGATTTTCTAAGATCTCGGTATTTATTAAATAATTCTTAGTAAATTTCCATTTCCTCCTGTATTTTATGAGCCTATTTCTTATGAGGTTACCCTAACCGATCAAGGCAGTAATTATCATCTTTCTTCAAACCCTCCTGGAAGGGCTCTGACTCTTTCGGAATCTAATAATGTAGGCTATTAAATTTGTCCGGGAGGAAATTATGTGATATTTGAGAAAGCCTCACACCAATAAGCCAATCAATGTCAGAGCCTTCCCTTTCAGACCTTTTAGTGAGAGTATGTTCTGGAGAAAAATTCCTTCATTCCATCCAAGTTAAAATGTGCATGCCATTTTCCCAGAAATTCTCATTCCTGTTCAGTGGCTTATACACCAGGATTCACACTGCTGCCTCAGCTTGGAAATGACTGTACGTGAACGTGACACTGATGGGATAAATCTTGGGAAATTCAGCCAATGAAATATTATGTTATGAAGAAAACAAGACAGCCTTTGTAACAAATGATCTGGAAACACTGGACTTCCAGATACAAAAGCAAACAGAAATGAAGCTTAACCCTTACCTTGCCCCACTTATAAAAATTAGTTCAAAGGAAAAGCTACATGTAAGAGCTAAAAGGATCACACTTCTATAGAAAATCTCAGTGACCTTGTAGGCAAAGATTTCTTAACATGGTACAGAAAGATAAATCATTAAAAAATGTTAAGTTAGACTTCATAAAAACTTTAAAACTTTTGTTCTTCAAAACGTAGGATTATATTGAAAATCCAAACCGAAAAACCAGGAGAAATATTTATAAAACACATGATTGGAGACTCATACCTAGAACATGAAATGCCTTTTACAACTCAATAAAAGTAAGAAAAGCAATATAGCTTTTTAAAAAAATAAGCAAAAGATGGAAATAAATACTTGGCCAAGGATGATCCCTGAATGACAAACACTTGAAAAGATACATCATTAGTCACTAGAGAAGTGTAACTTAAAACACAATGCTATTCCACCACCCACCTACAAAAATGGCTAAAATTAAGAGGCATGAAAACCTCAAGTACTGAAGAACAACTGGAACTTCCATATATTGCTAAGAGAAGGTAAAATGGAGTGATCACTTGAAAAATTATTTGGCACTTTCTTAGAAAGTTAAATATACACTTATGACGCCACCCAGTCGATCTACTCTCCAGTGTTTATCCAAGTGATATGAAACATACATTGACACAACAACATATGCAGGCCCATAATCATGTTATTTGTCATACCTAAAGCCTAAACCAACTCTGGTAGCCATCAACTGTGAATGCTTAAACAAATTGCATATATGCATACAAATCAAACAACTTGGCCATAAAAATGAACAACTGAGACACATGACATGGAAGACCATCACATGCACCATGCCCAATGGAAGTTTCTAGAACAGTAGGCTACGCACTATGTACTGCCATTTCTATCGTTGAACAGTTTGGAACTTAACAGTCCCTCAAACATTTGTGTGTCAAAGGCTTAGTCCCTGCTGATAGCATTATTAGGAGCTGGGGGGTCCTTTAAAGGACGGGGTTCCTGATAGAAGGAAGAGTTCACTGAGGGCATGCCCCCAAAGGATGTATTTTATCCCTGGTTCATCTTCTCTCTGTCCCTCTTTTGAGCAGCTTTGCTCTGCCACCCACTCTCGCCATGATGTCCTGCCTCACCACAGGGTCAGAAACAATGGAGCCAGCTGAGCATTGACTGAAAACATGGCCCTAATTAAATCTTTTCTTTGTGATATACAACTGATTGAATCAACTTGAGTAACAAACACCCAGCTAAATTAGATCAGCCTAGATCTAGGTGTGGCTGAGGGGGTCTACTGAAGATTTGCTGGGTTTCACTGGTGTGCCTTACAGCAACCAAATGGGCTTGCCACCTACAGAGTATAAAATGGAAACAAGGAAGGCTCTCTTCTGTTTCTTTGGGGGAGCTCCTGGCTTTTCTTTGTGTGTGTG